TTTTTTTTTGAGAAAGAATCTCACTATATAACTCTGGGTGGCCTGGAACTCAATTTATAAATCAAGCTAACCTCTGACTCACAAAGATCCATCCGCCTCTGTCCCCTGAATGCTGGCATTCACGCTGTGTGCCACTATGGCTAGCCTGGGTATAATCCTTAAAACAAACATGTTAAGCCTTCATGGTCTTGATTATATTAGCTGACAGTTGCTCAGTATGATACCCAACATACCAACAACCAGAAGAAACGAAATCGAGCCGGGCAGTGGTGGCGTATGCCTTTAACCCCAGCACTTGGGAGGCAGAGGCAGGAGGATTTCTGAGTTCGAGGCCAGCCTGGTCTACAGAGTGAGTTCCAGGACAGCCAGAGCTACACAGAGAAACCCTGTCTTGAAAAAAAAAAAAAAAGAAAGAAAGAAAAAGAAAAAGAAAAAGAAAAAGAAATAGAGAAAATGATACCACAGACTGTCCTGAGAAAGGAGGCTTTCCTGGAATTTGAGATTAGCTATGCTATACAATGAGTTCTAGGCCAGTTTGAGTTACAGAGTAAGACTGAAGAATAAGAAAAAAGAGAGATCAAGACAAGGGGCTCGGGCGCTATCTCAGTTGATAAAGTGCTTACCATATAAGCATATGCATCTGAGTTCAGACTCCAAGCACCTATATAAAAAGTCAGGCACAGCCACAGAAGCCTGGAAGCTCAGCACTGGGGAAGCATGCTAGGGGACCCCAAGAGCTTGCAGGCCAGTCTGTCTAGCCAAATCAGCAAGTTTCAAGTTCATCAAGATACTCTGTCTTTAAACAACAAAAATAATAACAAAAATTTAGAGAGGACTGGAGAGATGCTCAGTGGTTAAGAGCACTGGCTGCTCTTCCAGAGGACCCAGGTTCCATTCCCAGCATCCACATGGTGCCTCACAGCCATTTGTAACTCCAGTTCTGGGACATATCAGACTCCTGTGAGCACCAGACACACACATGATAGATAGACATACAAGCAAGCAGAACACTCATAGACATAAAATAAAAAATACATGAGTTTAGAAGGATGGAGAGATGGCTCAGCAGTTAAGAGTACTGGTTACTCTTCCAGAGGTCCTGAGTTCAATTCCCAGCAACCACATGATGGCTCACAACCATCTGTAATGCAATCTGATGCCCTCTTCTGGAATGTGTAAAGACAGATCACTCATATGCATAAAAATAAATAAATATTAAAAATACATGAATTTAAAAAATAAAGTGAAGGGTGATTGCAGAAGACAAACAACATTGACCTCTGACCTCCATACAAAGGCACACAACTACACCAACATATATGTACATATAACACATACAAAAGAAGAAAGAAAAGAAACATACATTATCAATAAAATAAACCCTGAGTTCAAAATCTCCATTACCACAAAGAAGAAGAGAAGGAGGAAGAGGAAGAAGAGTAGGAGGAGGAGGAGGAGGACAACCCACAACCCACAGATGGGGAGGGGACTACTGTTCATCACACACTTGATTAAAATCCAGTATTCAGAACATGTAAACAATCTTGTCACAACTCAATGATTAAAAAAAAAATTTAAGCACAAGCTTAAGATTTGAACAGGCACATATCAGAAGTACAGGAAATCTGCACAGGCTCATCTGCAGCTGGGGAGACACATACATAAGTCACAATGACACATCTGTACACACCCACCATGATGACTACAACCAAAAAGACAGAGTAACAAAAGTTGGCAGGGATGTGGAGAATTTGAAACCTTCATCCATTGCTGGCAGGGATGTTAATGATACAACTGTTAAGGAAAACAGTTTGGTAGTTACTATTAAAAGTTCAACATGAAGTTACCATATGGCCCAGTAATTCTGCTCAGGTATACACTCATAATAACTATGTCCACAAAAACTTGCACATATTTGTAGTAGAATCATTCAGAATAACCAAAAGGTGGAAACCTGGACAGCCATCAACTGATGAATGAAAAAAAAAAGTCTTGTAGCTATGCCAGGGAATTGTATTCATCTATAGAAAGCAGTAAAACACTAGTACAAGCCACAGCATGTATGAACTTTGAAAGAACTCAGAAGGAAGAGCAGACTTAGAAACACACATATTGTTTCATTGGTTTATATGAGATGTTCAGGACAGACAGATCCATACAGACAGAAAGTCAGTTGGGGATAGGTGCAGGGGAAATGTAGAGTTTCTTTGAAGGGTGGTGACATGTTCTGGGTATGCCACGGTGATGGTTGCAGAGTTGTGAATATACCTGACTCAGAAATTTTTAAATGGTGAATTTTATAGTATGCAAATCATGTGTGTGTGTGTGGTGTGTGTGTGTGTGTGTTAAAAGCAGACTGTGTATATGTGGGAATGGAAAGTGTATGTGTTGGAGTGAGCTTGGGGTCCCCATTTCACCTGGCCAGACTTTAGATCCTCTCCATGGAATAGTACCTAACTACCATCTATTCTTCCTTCTCCCACTTCCCCCACCCCCACTCCAGCTCTCTCCAGCAGCTTTGCTCCCTAGCCTTCTGCCCTCAGAGTCTGCCTGCTCTATCTGACTCACCGAAGCTTCTGGATGTTAGAGGAGACCCCTGAGAGGCGGTAGATCCCATCCACCACTCCGTACTCTTGCACAAACTCCGCACAGCTCCGTAGCACCTGGGGCACTGGGGACACAGAAGACAGAGAAAAGAAAGAAAACGTTTCTAGCTTCTCAGCGAAGGGATCTGAGGAATGGAAGCGTCATGAAAGAGGGTTCACTAAGATTAAGGGCAAAGCTTAAAAAACCCAACCCTCACTAGAAAGGATCCTCCAGCCGATCCTATCTTTGTATAACATTTCTATCCCTTGGTCCTGGAATATCTGGGACTGAGGAGGACCTCACTGCTTCTCTATATTAATCCTTTCAGTTGTCTTTTCAAAACTCTTGTTTTTTTCTGAGGCAGGGTTTTTCTGTATAGCCCAGGCTGTCCTGGAACTCCTCTGTAGACCAGGCTTGCCTCGAACTTACAAAGATCCACCTGCCTCTGCCTCCCAGGAATGAGCTACCATTGCCTGACTCATTTGTTTGCTTTTAAAACAGGATCTCACAGATCTGGGGCTGGCCTTCCACTAGTGTTGTAGCTGAGGATGACCTTGAATTTCTGATCCTCCTGCCTCTACTTCCTGAGAATTGGGATTATAGGTGTGCACCATAGCATTCTGTTTGTTTTTGAGACTTTGACCTACCCCAGGATGGCCTTGAACTTGTGACTTTGAATTCCTGATCCTCCTACTTCTACTTCCTGAATGCTGAGCATATAAGCATATGCCCCATATTTGGTTAACGTGACCCTGGGGATCAAACCTAGGGTCTGTGCGCGCTAGGCAAGCACTCTGCCAAAGCAAGTTACCTCAGTCCCTCGTTTTGTGATTACATGCTCAGTAGTGTATCCTACTTATTACTTATGATTTAAAGAAAATGATGGGCTAGAGTTGTAGAGCAATAAGACCATTTTCTACAATAACTGTGCATTCTATTTTAACAGTTAATATATTTAACAGCTTATATATAAATTCAGATGGCAAAACCACCAACATTAGTTAGCTTAAAGATAGATAATTAAACTGGGTGTGGTGGTGCACGCCTTTAATTCCAATATTTGAGAGGCAGAGACAGGTGGATCTCTGAGCTTGAGGCCAGCCTGGTTTACAAAGTGAGTTCCAGGACAGCCAGGGCTACACAGAAAGACCTTGTCTCAATAAAAGCAATCATCACCATCATCATCACCATCATCATCACCATCATCATCATCATCATCATCACCATCATCATCATCACCAGCACCACCAAACCAGTCTTATTTGACTTTTATCCTTCACAGAAACTCTCTGAATACACCAGGGAGACAACAAGGAAAAGCAAGGCCAGGGAGATATGGCTTTGCAGGTCACCCATTATAAAAAAGCTGGATGCGGTGACTTAAACCTAAAATCTCAGCATGCCTACAGCGTATCCGGAGGCAGACAGAGGAGTCACCTGTATGTATGTTGGTGGGCCAGCTAGCCTGGAGTACACTGTGTAGTAGCAGAAACAAAAGAGACCCTCCTCACAAGATGGAAGGCAAGGACCAACTCTTGAAAGCTGTCCAAATAAGTAATAATTTTGAAAAGCAAAAAGTATAGCAGGCATCTTGTATTCAGCTTTCACCTGTCTACGTTTTTAGTTCTGTGTATGTATTCGCGCACACAAGATTGCCCAACAGGAGTGCTGGGAACTGAAGCCTGGTCCTGTGCAACAGCAGCGTGTTCTTAACAGCTGGGCCATCTCTCCAGCCTCGAATTCAGCTTTCATATGGGAGTCATAGGAAGCACAGGTCTGCAGTTTTGGAACTGAAACTTCTCATTGACATCAGCTGTCACCCCAGAATGTTTAAAGGGAGCAGCAATCTTGTGCAGCAGGGGAGTCAAAGTAAAAGTCTAGTCCCCAAATTGCTTTTATGTAATGTTCTACCAGCCATGAAAAAATGAACACTGCTTATCCAACCAAAAGGGAGCCCAGCCAGAGGCAGTTAGTGTGAGCTACTTTCTCCTGTAAGAAAGTTTGCAGTTATTCAGTTTGATATTGGAAAGTACCATGTCTGATCACGTGGTCAAGCATAGGAGAAGAGAGCTGACTTCCACAAGTTGTCCTTTGAGCCCCACATACCCTCCACAAAGACACGCAAAATAAATGAACATTTTTTTAAAGTGCAAAAGAAATATTACCTTGTCAGACCTGAGCCACCACTGTGTTACCAGATTAATCTCCTTAAGGATAATACGTGGTATTCCTCATGCTATCCTGACATAGTGTCTGCTGAGATGGTCTCAAGAACAAGTTCTGAACCCTACTTAGAAAGCTAAGGATAGATATGAATGCAACCTAACACAGAACTGTACATTGAGGTTCTTTCCGTCCTTGAAATCCTTGGCCACGGAAGCACCCAGCCGACGCCACCCAAGACCCATTGCTTATTTTTTTTTGTTTGTTTTGTTCATCTCTTTGTTTGATTTTTTGTTTTGTTTTGTGTTTGTTCCGTTGGTTAGTTGGTTTTTGTTTTTGTTGTTGTTGTTTATTTGTTTGTTTCCACACTGGGTTTCTCTGTGTAGCCCTAGCTGTCCTGGAACTCACTCTGTAGACCTGCCTCTGCCTCCCAAGTCCTGGAATTAAAGGAGTGTATCACCGCCAACACCTGGCCTTGTTGCTTATCTTAAAATAGGAGAGCTCAGAATAAGGGATAGAATATGAGCTCCTCAGCCTGGGATATAAGACCTTCACAGACTAGGTCCTGACAAATTCCATGACTCAGCCCTTTGCCAGTTCATAAACAAGCCTGGGTACTACCCCTCATTGATGTGCTTTGGATCTGCTTTCTTCTCTCAAAGGTTCCTGTGCTAGGCGCCTGGTTTCCGGTGTGGTGAGGTTGAGGATGGGGAGACAGTTCAGAAGGCGGGACCTAGTGAATGATGATTAGGTCAGGGGCTCAGGCTGGCCTTCCAGGATGCTCCTATACTTTTCTTTTTTTGCTTGTTTGTTTGTTTGGTTGTTTGGTTGGTTGGTTGGTTGGTTTTTCGAGACATGGTTTCTCTGTATAGCCCCGGCTGTCCTGGAACTCACTCTGTAGGACATGCTGGCCTCGAACTCAGAAATCCGCCTGCCTCTGCCTCCCACGTGCTGGGATTAAAGGACCATCACTGCCCGGTGCTCCTATACTTTTCAAGTTCTGGGATTATAACTGTTCCAACAAGCCTCCCAGTGCTACCTCTTTGGGGTGGGGTGGGCTTTGTGTGACTGGACCATAGAGTGGGTTGTAGAAAGCAATCCCATTCCACGTTCCTGTTCCCTTCTATATGCGGACAGTTTTCTTTCCACCTCACCATACTGTGAGGGGTCCCTTGCCAGGATGCCAACATATGCTCTCTGAATCCCTCAGCCGCTGCAGTCATGAGCCGAATCAACCTCTCCATAATTTCTCCATTTGAGAGGTTTTGCTGTATCACAAAATTAAGGCACTTGTTTTATTCTCCTGTCTGGAAATACCTTCCCCTCCAATTGCCTGGTAAACTATTCCTGAAAACGTATCTCAAGTATCACCCCCCACATACCCCAGCTGAGCAAAGTGGCACAAGTCTATAGTCTGAGCTCCTTGAGAGGCTGAGGCAGGAGAATCACTTGCGGCCAGGAATTCAGGGCCAGCCTACAACATAATGAGACCACCTGAAAACCAAAAAAGCAAACAAGGGCTCGGGAGGCAGCCAGCAAGGGCTCGGGAGGCGGCCAGGCAGTCAGAGGGCTTGTCTGGAAATTGAGAGGACTGGAGTTTACATCCCCAGATCCATGTAAACGGGCTGCAAGTCCAGCTTCAGAAGATGGAGAGGCGAGGATGCCCCAGAGTAATCAGGCTAGTGACACTAGCAACATCAGCAAACTGTGAGTTTGACTGAGAGACCCTCCTAAAAATAATATGGTGGAGAGTGATGGAGAAAGATCCAAAACGCTAATCTCAAATCCCCACATATATGTGTACACACACATATGCAAATGTAAATAAGACAAAAGTAAAAACACCACTGTGGATTCTGAACTTTTATTCCTATGTATCTATAGTACAGTTCCCATGGTCCTTTGCTCATCTCAGTATTATGGTATTTTTTTTTAAATGTATTTAATTTGTATGTGTACCATATGCATGCAGGTACCTGAGGTGTCCAAAAGAGGGTGTCAGTTTAAGATGGAACTGGAGTTACAGGTAGTTGGGAGCTACACTATGTGGGTGCTGGGAACTAAACCCAGGTCCTCTGCAAAAGCAGCCACTCCTCTTAATTGTTGAGCCATCTCTTTAGCTTGATGCACTTACCATACTTTACTATAAATGTATTATATCTATACCTCCGGATAAAAGGTATATTTCATCAGAGAATCCTATCTGTCACTGAGGTGAAACACTTTAGATCATATAGTGAATGAATTCAGAATTTACATCAGAATCACTGATGAGACCGGATAAAGGGCATTGCCTTTGATGAAACACTGGGTCCTGTTCACTGGGACTCATCAGAGAAATTTCTCCAATATGTCACCACCAGAGAAAGCTGTGTCTCTTCTAAGTGCTTTGTTCTCCAAAAGCCTCCTAAGTCTCCTATGACTTTAATTACTAGGCAGTTCACGGCCCACCCTTAGCAGCCACACAGAGCCATCTGCTGCACACGTCTGGCTGCTGCCCTTCTTCCTTTCCCTTCACTTCAGCTTCTTCGGTCCCAGTCTCTCACGCTGTTCGGCGTGTAGGGCCTCAGAAGCCGTCCCAAGCTTTTTGTGGAGCAAAGCATGGCAAAAAAACAAAACAAAAAAAAAAAAAACCAAAAAACAAAGAAACAAACAAAAACAAAAACAAAAAACAACCCAGGGAGAAGGCTAGAGCAACCATCAGCTTTCAGTTTTCTTCCTGTGACCTGGTTTTCAGACCCTTTCTCTTTTTGCTCATAACCAGAACTTGGGTAAGCCAAGACAAGAACTGTGAAGGGTAAAGGACACTGAAGGAAGGCTTCATTTTCGGGGCAGTGCATATGTTAACGTGTACCATCTTTAGAATGAGGGACCTAGGACATTTGTACAATGTCCCTAGATTGAGTGGCTCCTGAAATTTGGGGCCCTTGTCATCTTTTCTCACCTCACTCCAGCCCCAGGTTTGTGGATTACTGTTCATACCTTCAAACCTTGTCTGCATTTTTACATGATCCTGTTCCTACCTCTCTGCACTGAGATGAGGCCATCCCCAGTGTCGAAGTTACTGTCCTGCCACTGGGTGCCTAATGTTACATCGACTCTTTCAGCTACCACGTTACTCTACTGATTCATAAATAGTCTTCTGTCTGGGCCTGCTTAGTGCACACTAGTAATCCCAGCACTCAGAGCTGCATAGCAAGAGTGCATCTCAAAGTAAATACGTAAACATCAATAGCACACTCTCATCTAAACTCTAGTTCAATCCAAACTAGGCTTTCCTCTCCTATTCTTTTCTGTTGATTTTAAACCCTGGAGGAGATCCTCACAGAGATGGAAGATCTCAAGGAACCTGAGCCATAAAAAAAATGAGCTAAGAGATAGTAGGGTCAGAGAGGGGGTGGAACTGCAGATATAAGCCAGCGGAATTAAGTCAGAGATATAGTTTAGAGACAAGACTGGGGTGATGGAGTCAAAATGACTAGAAGGATACGGGTGGAGTCAAGGAAGAAGGGCCTATAGCAAATCAGAAACCTAAACAAGGTATCCAAGCTTAGGAGAAGAAAAAGATCCATTTAGGGGAAAAAGAGTTGGGGAAGAGGTCTGAGGTTGAGCGAGGACGTAAAGATAGAGAACACCAGGGTGATATATCTGGGAATATCAATTCACCAGAAGCAGATGATCTCCCTGGTCCAAGCCTTTGTTCACTCACTGGGTCTTTGGCTGATGAGAGAAGCTGTTACCAAAGAGCTTCGTTCATCCAAACACTTTCCACCTATCTGTACCAGGGATGTTTTGGTAAGAGGAGGGTTTCTATGATGCTCTGGTACACAAGATTCATCTCTGGAGACTTGGACCCCATAAGGTTCTAGTGAGGGACAGAAGGGGTTCCTCTCCTGCTCTGGGATTCCCTTATAATCAGGAGCCCAGCCACTTTTCATCATCCCTGGATCTCTATAGAGAGAATTCCCTTCACCTGCTGGGAATGGTGGACCCAAGGATCACAGAAGTAGAGTCTGGCTGTCTGTGGGTTGTATGTTTCAAGACAGAGTTGGTGCTGGGAATCACAGGAAAGGAGAGAACCAGCATAAGGAGGCTGAACTGAGAACTCAGAGCTACAAGAATATCGTGCCCATGTAAGTCATATGGTTCTCTGTCAAAAGTCGTTATCGAGTGATGGCTAGATGGCGCATCAGTTAAGAGAACTGACTATTGTTCCAGAGGACCTGGGTTCAGTTCCCAACACCCACACGACAGCTAACAATTGTCTGTAACTCCAGTTCCAAAGAGAATCTGACATTCTCTCCTGTCCTCCATGGGCGTGTCACATGTGTGCAACATTCGTGCAGGCAAAATATTCATACATATAAAATAAAAGTAAATAAATCTCAAAAAAATGTTTTAATCATCATAGGGTAATTGCCTGCCATCAAGCTGGAAGACATCAGTTTAATACCTGAGACATAAAGGAAAGAGAGAACCAGCTTCCGAAAGGTGTCCTCTAACCTTCACACATACACTGGGGTACATGTAGCCACACACTCACACACAACAAAAAATAAATAGCACCTGTGAGATGGTTCAGTGGGTAAAGGAGCCTGCTATCAAACCTGATGACCTAACTTTGATCCCTGGGACCCACATGATAGAAGGAGAAAAGTGATCCCCCCAAGTCGTCCTCTGACCTCTCCCCAGGATGTACACAAAATACCTGAATAAGTAGAGCAATGAAGAAGAAGAAAGAAGGAGGAGGAGGAGGAGGAGGAGGAGGAGGAGGAGGAGGAGGAGGAGGAGGAGGAGTCTAGAATGGAAAGATTTCTTAGGACCTGGACTTTCCCTTAATGGAGGCTAGTAGGGATGGGGCCCTCTGATAGAGGAGAAAAGGGGAAGAAGGTGTCTGGGGACACAAGGGCGGGGCTAAGAGCAGGAAATGAGCTGGGAACCACCACCACCCTCCCTTCACTGCAGGCACCACAACCAGAGAACAAAGAGGAAATGACAGATTGGGGTGGGGTGGAGTGGAGGGGGCAGAATCGTGCCCTCTTTTGGAAGTTGCCCAGTGTGCTGAAAACAAGCTGGGCAGTGTAGTCAGGATAGCACTGATCAATTTCAGATCAAATTAAGGTATGGTTCTGAGTAGCTACTGCGTGCCCAGCACAGTGGTGAGCTGGCAATTGTACCTGGGCCTGCTGGCTTCCAGGCCCATTGTAGAGCAAGCTGGAGAAGGAACGGAGGGAGCTCCAAAAAGCGTCCACACTCCTCTTTGCTGCAGTTTTCACTCCCAACTTCAAACCAGGGCTGAAGCTGTCTGCTTCACTTTTCCTCCATTCCCTGAAGCTTTTCCCTGAGCCCTCTACCGCCGACCAGTTTCTTCTTTGTAAGCAATTTAAAGAAGAGTGTCACTCCTCTCCGTCCCCCACCCTCCTGTGCCAGCACAGCTGCAGAAGGGCCAGGTTCTTGTCCCTTGGGTGCTGTTCTCCAGCTAGGATGCCTCCTTCTTCCCTCCCCACGTTATATCCTCAGATTCACTGGGCCCATTCCCACTGGTGTCTCCACTTATTATTCCATCAACCATCCCTTCAGCCACTCTTCCGACATACGACCTCCATCCCCCTCCCTGGCCCCGCCCCGTTCCCAGTCTCCATCCTCTCATCTGATTCATCCACCTCTCCAGACTTTCCAAATTTCATCCCCTACACAACCCCTGACAGGTTCCCTTGACGTTCCCATCCTCAATTTCTCAGCTTCCTATTCCCTAACTACTACAGAAGGGAGACTCTCTACCTTCTCCTCTGGGCCACGCTTCCTGCGTTGCCTTTGCCTAGGTCTCATGGATGGTGATCCTGGGTCACTGCCCTTCCCTACAAGCTGATTCTGCCCAATGGAGAAGACAAGCTTGGTGCCTGCATGGCAGTCCCGCCACCCAGCTGCCCAGTTGACCTCCTTACCTTCCTGGCCCGAGTGCTGTAGATGCTCCCGTAGGTCACACCCAAACACTCGTTCCTTGGAGCTGCCCTTCTTCTTTCCTTTCTGCCGAGACTTCATGGCCACAGTTCCCGGGACCTCTGTCCCCCAAGACCTTTGACCTACCAGTCCCCCATGGAATCCCAGTCAGTAGTTGGGTTTGGCCCAGCCCCAGGGGGGCAGGGCTCCAAACTGGAGATGGAGGGTGGCCTGGGGCAAGGGACAACAGCGCTTGCCTCTGGGGGCCCCTGGGGCCACACGGAAGTAAATATGGAAGAGGAAGCTACCAGAACCCTAGCATGAAGCCGTGTCTCGTGGCCAAGCTGAGCACTAGCCCTTCTCGTCCTGTGCAGCTCGAGGGGAGCAGGAAGCTGTGCAGCTCCTCAAACCCGCTTCCTGTTAGAGCATCTTTGCAACCACAGGCCTCGGGTGGGGGAGGCCGGTGACATTCACATCATCATTGCTGGGACTTCATCCATTGGTCACAGAAGAAGGTGACGTCAGAACCCCGGGGTGGAGTAAGGTTGCCTGGGGTGTGAGCAGGTGGCTGGCACTTCTAGATACCCAAATTCTTGAGTGGGACAGAGACCTGAGGCTTTGCCTGTGAGCACAGCAGGAAAGGACCATGCAGAACATACACCCAGGGTGGATGAGGTCTTTGAGGACCCTGTCATCTTGGTCAGGCCACATTACTTTACTGAGCCTTGGTTGCCGTACATTTGAAAATGAGGACACAGACCAGGTGACTTTTGAGTTTCAGTTTCTTTGTCTGTAAAAGAGTACACGGCTGTCCACCTCACACAGCTGCTGGAAGTTTCCAGTACCGTCAAATTAGAAACACTTCACAAACTAAGGCACTGGCTTCCCCAAAAGGGGTTATGTCCACACAGCCCTACCTGAGGGCTCTCAGAAATGGTTAAAATGTCTTTTGAAAGCCACTTGCTCCTTTCTGAGCTGTATCTGGCTCCGTTCCCTGCCTGGGAGCAAAGGAGGGAATCACATAGAGACTCAGTACATAGCCCTTGTGACTTACCCAGTCCAAGGGGCAAGACAGGAATCAGACAAAAAGGTTTTATCTGTTTATTTAAAAACAGAATATTGTTTTATGTACAAATATACATATATTTACATAAAATATACATACTAAGACCCCAGATCCTTGGGGTCCATAAGTCCTGGGTTGCTTGGGAATGAAATGAGAGCTTCTCCTTTAGATCAGCAGATTTCAGGCCACACAAGATTTGGATACTAAATCTCGGTATTCTGGCTGCATAAGTTTGGGTAGGCTAAAGAAAAACAAACATCTAACCCCAGGCCCCCCACATACAAAGTGCCAGAGAGCCCCAAATTAATGACTCAGAAACCCCTGGGGAAGGATCTGTTCTCACCCTCACCCACAACACCCCTTTCTCCTCACCTGAGCTCCCCCACCTTCCCCTCTATCCTCTGCCCTCAACACAACTGAACCAGGAGCCCCTGACACCAAGTCCCAGCTCTGTGGAAGGCACAAACCACTGTAGACACAGCTAGGACAAGGTCTGAGGGGCCATGGGACCCAAGCACCCCATCCCTAGCCTCCTATCCAGTGTTTGCACCGCACACCCCAGGTTCCAGACTTCAGCAGCTGTCAGCTCCCTCCCCAGAACCTCTTTGGGTGAATATATCCTAGGAAGAGAATTTTCCAGAACCACAGGCATTAATTCCTGCTGTGGTGTCTGCTAAACAGTTTTGTTGAATGCCTATGTGGGCTGGCCTTGCTTAAACAAGCCCAGTAAAACCCATGCACATAAATCAGTAAAGTTTTTCTTTGTTGTTTGTTTTTTAAATTTCTTTCTCTCTTATTAAGGGAGTCTGAGCAGAACTCAGGAAGCTCCCTTGGAGTTTAATTTACAGAAGGTCCGTACCACATGCAGCAGGCCCACAGGCCACCAGACGGCAGAGGGTTTCTGTAACAGTTCCAGCCTCTGGCAGACCCCTGGATGTCTGCTTCACACTTGCTCCCAAGGGGTGGGAACACAGCTCCCCCACTTTGGAGGTCAGATTCTAGCTCCAGCTATGCCCGCACATCTGGATCTGGCCACAGTCTCCGCCTCTCACTTCTAACCTCTGCATCGCTAATACTGCTCTGGGGTCTGAGGACAATCCCTGCCTCCTCAGGCAGAGGTCACACATAAGGCACACTACTCACAAACCACACCCTAGTGATGATCAGCCCACAGCCACAAATCCTGCGGCACACACATCGTTCACTTGGACTCATCATGACAGCAAGATGCATAGCATGGACAGTCACCCCTTCATGCACATGCGATCCATGAGTGCACACACACACACACACACACACACACACACACGGAATGACCTACACGCAATGGTGGGAGGCACTCAACCAGTGAAGCCCTCCTGATGAACAACAGAAGGATTGGAGGTAAAAGTGGAGCAGTCAGTAGGTTGGGAAGTACCTTCCTAGAGAAATGCAGGCATTTAAGGGGGCTTCCCCTAAGAAGAGCTGAAGTTCCCCATGGAAGCAGAAGAAGCCAGGCCTCGGGGAGGGAGGCAGGCCTGTGTCAGACCAGGTGCCCTCGCCCATTGATGTAGATACCATTGCCTGTAGGTTTGGCCCTCAGGGTCCCATTTTCCTGAACAAAGTGGTTCATGGCCTGTTTGATGCCTTCATCCTGATCATCCTCCTCCTCTGTCCGCCCAGAGCCTGGAGATAGCAGTTCGGTCTGCGTTTCAATCTCTCTCACTGTGGTTAACGTGGAGTAGCTGCGGCCTTCTGGCTCTTCACTCTGGAGACCAAGGGCAAAAGATAAGTCAGGAATCAAGATCAAACAGTCAGCATAAGGGCTGGGTTGTGATAGGGTCAGAGGTCAGGTAAAGCACGGGTGATGGTTGTCCCAGAGGGATAGGGGCTTGGAAATTTGGGGGGCTGGGGAGGGCAATAACAGGCATCACACACAATGATGGGGACAGAGAACAAAGGCATAGCAGAAATGGGGGGTTCACATGTGAGCCAGGGATGCAATGGGGGTGGGGGAGCTGTCACACCACATCTGGGGCCAGGAGAGGGGCCTGAGGAGAATGTTGGGACACTGGTGGGGCCGGGGGGGCCTCACCATCACAGAGCAGCTACTGTTGTCCTTGAGACTATCAGGGTGGCCCTCCGCTCTCAGCCCTACACTCTCCTCCGGCTGCAGGGGCCCAGACATAGGGGAGGAGTTAGAAGAGAGCTCAGTCTCCTCCCCTCAGCCTCTTCACCTCTCTCAGCCGCTAGCAATCTCTCCCTGATCACATTTCCCCCACCGATAGGTCCATGTCTGACCCAAGCATCCTTCATCCCTCACTCTCAAAACCCACCCTGGCATCAGCACCAGTGGTGGATTCCTAGAGCAGCCCCCAAACCAGTGCTAAGAGGGCCTTGCAGGCGGGAGTGCTAGCAGCCCCAGAGCATCAACCCACCCACCTCCCATCCCCAGCTAACAGCCCAGCCTCAGCTCAGCTTCAGCTATGAGTAAGCAGCCAGTCTAGTACAGAGGAGCCAAGACTCAACCAAACCTGTGTGCCCATGCCTCCCGCCCCCCACGCACCCAACCTTCACACACACCTGGCTCCTTGGGTCCGTGTGGTGAGAGTGCAGCCTCCGGATGGAGTTCTCCCTGGTCAAAGTCAGCTCCTCCTCACTGGGAAAGGCAACACCTCATCAGGAATGGACAGCAGTGACAGTCTCCTATGGTGAATCTAGCCTGGCTGAGCCTGTGTGAGACTGCTGAAGGATATGATTGCCAGACTCCGCCCTCGAAGGTGAGCATAGGTGGCTACAGATGACAGTGTGGCTGGATAGCATGGGTGTGCTACACAGTGCTAAGGTGTGCATGGTAGGTGATACCTGGGGAGTGTGGTTTTGTGTTTCTCTCAGGCATAAGTCTCCTCATCCGGCTGTGCTCCAGATCCTAGGCACCAGCACTTCCCCAAAGACTCCGCCCACCTCTGATGTACAACTGTCCAGCTGTCACTAGGCCACACGGTCTCCTTTCTCCTCTGTGCTGGCTCACCTCCATTCCTCTTTGTTCTCAGCTCAGTGCCACCCACTCAGAGGAGCCAGGACTCACTATTTCTGGGTCATCTGCTGGGCTTTCCGTCGATGATATCGGGACATGAGAACCACCACCACCACCAGGAGGCAGAACAGGAGAGCAGCAATGACACCCACTACGACCACTGAGGCAGACACCAGGTCTACCTGCTTTCCTGGATCCTCAGGGTCTGTTGGAGACAGGCCAGTGTTTGAGATGCATGCCCAAATCCTTCCCTAATCCACCCCAGACCCCACTGCTACCCCGTGTCATCCTCATAGAACACACCCACAGCTACCCACTCAGCTTAATCCTCTCCAAAATCCATCATCCCCAAAGACATCCTTTCCCATTTCTTTCTCTGTCTTGCTTCCCACTGCCCACCCCCAGCTCTGGACTCAGAATCCTTGTCTTTGTTCTCCAACCACTATGCTTACCAAGAACTTCCACAGTGACCTGAGAATTCCTCGAAGAAAGTTCATTGCTGACGTGGCAGATGTAGACGCCACTGTGCTCAGTAGTCAGTGGGGGAAAGCCCAGAGTGTCCCCTTTCACTCGCACCCCACTAGGCAGAGGTCCATCCAGCCTGAAGGACAGGGAAGCTGAAGGGTGCTGGCTGGGGCAGGCTAAGGCTGCCACCACCCAACGTGCCCAGGCAGCTCTTCATCCCCTTCCCCCATGACATCACCTAAAGCCTCAGGCTGTTCCCACGGTGCCCCTCCCTACCCTAGACAGGTCTAGGCAGAGGTCCTTTCTCCCTGCCGCCCAGCCTGACCTGGGCACCCGCACACACACTTGGGGAAGATCCACATGCATGCCATCCCACATGCTCTCACAGGCATCCCGTCATCCAGTACTAAGTACCAGGCATATATGCTAAGTCCACACAACAGGACCCTCCACTCCTAGCTGAGCTCAGAGGTACTGAGAACCTATGACTACATGTTCCAACACCTATGATACTGCATGGTGGAGTAAACAAACCTAGCCCCAGACACAAGGCCATAGGTATCATTCATGTGTCCACATGTAGGAACATGCCTATACATACATAGTATCCTATCCCTTTCTGAAAAAAAAAAAAAAAAGGCAAGGACTCTTGAAGGAGCTGGTGGAAGTGTGCCTGTGTTTCTGAGGTGCTGGCAACATTACGGTTATAAGGAGTGTGGGTGTAACAGCAGTTATAGTCAGCTTTCTTTGTGTCACAAGTACTTTTAGCCTTCACAAATACATAAAAGATTAATATTTAATATAGTTATATTTCATCATCTAAAG